AGGTGAGGATGTGATTTAGACTTTCCTACTCGACTTTATCTTTTCTCTGTAGCCTGATTGTGACCTCAGTTGGAGACTTTTCACACTCAGATCAAAGAGTGAGCCAACTCCCATGTGTGTTTGAGGAAGACAGAATCAAGATTGAAAAGTAAATGGTGACCTGGGTTCCAGGTACTTTTGTTCTCCTCCCCTTTGCAGGTGTTGCTGATCTGTTGATTTGAAGAGCAGAGTATTTGAACCTGGCTGTCTCTCTGTCTAGCGGGTCGCTTTCAGCGTCCTCTCTGCCTCTTGGTGCTTGTGTTGCTCTGCTCCCCTCCTCTTGCACATTTGAGTTTGTCTTTCTTTTTGCACCTCTGCACTTCCGTATTCACTCACACAACACATCCGAGCTTTTGCATTACGCCAGTGATACCGACTTTCACAATCCATTGTAGTTTGTGTTAATATTCCTTTTTCTGCATCTTATCCACTGCATGGTCTCCCACTTTTGTTATGACCTTGAGTCAGTCTTATCAATGTATCATAGGCAGGTTAACAGACATATCTACTGGAGGAGAAATAAGTCACTCAGAAAAGGTTGATTATCATCCAGCGCTCCTTAAAACTCCAGCAGGTGATCAGGTGATTGCAACCAGGTGTAACAGACTTTGACATTGCTGATGTGCTGGAGTGCATCTTGCTTGAGATGTGCACTCATGTTGAAATAAATCTTCATTGTGCAGCAAACCCTTACTTGCACTAAATTGGAAATAATTTAGAAAAATACACTGAATTACAAGGCTTTACAGAACAATGTGCTATTGTTGACTTTACATGTAAGATTATAATTACATGATTATAGCAATAATAGGTGGTTATCTAAAGCAGGCTAGCCTGAGGCATGAACTGAGTCTTACACCATTCCTGGTATTGCATCAGTTGGAAGATAGAGGTTGTGGAAAAGCCTATCGAGTTCAACCTGTAAGAAAAAGAGAAAAAACATGGTTGTACTTAAGGGATCAGCTTAATAATGAGTAAAAAAGGCAACAGCTTTGTCATGCAGTCCACAGACTTGTATTAAAAGGTTTGCAGGAAGCCCAAACTCCTCCCGTCTGCAGATGGCATCCCAAGCAGAACTCTGTGAGCCTCAGACATTCTTTACAGCATGACTGAGCTGTAAGCTGTTCCAACAGCTTTATCCCTGATTGGTTCTTGGTTTTCATGATGCTGTTTGTCTCTAACAAACCTTTTGAGTTCTTAAAGGAACAATTGCACCTATACTCAGATTCAATTAGACACAGTCCAATGTGCTTCTGCAAACATGACTGTGACTTAATGGAAAAAATTGCTTCTTTGTATTCGTGTGTTTAAAGAACCTTGTTCCAAAAGTCTTGTGGTTGGCTGAGATATAACTTTCCACACCAAAGTAATGCTGTCATTTTCTTTTCAGAGGAGACAATCATCCCGTTCTAGACAAGCAGCCACCATGCAAGTCACAAGGGTGTACTTACTTTTTGCACATACTTATTCCATTGTGGCTTGCTCTTTGTTTTATTAAAGAATGACAGTGTGGAATCTGGCATGTATTTTTACATACTTGAGGTTTCATTTAAATAACTTTAGCTACTGGTAAATCACATTCATGGTGTGTCAGCATATGACTGGGGTTTTTGGTTAATGTTGGTTAAAATGATGATTGCTTTGTTCCAGGGAAATATAAAAACAGTTTCCAGTTCCTACAGGTCCTCAGTGTTTAAGTATTTCCCCTGAGGAAATACCTCAGCAAGCATTTCCAGCTAGACAGAGAAACAAGTTCAGCTTGGTGTGTGATTTGTGTTCCAGAATTTATTACTTCAAAGACACAATCAGAGCCAAAACTAGTTTAATGTAGTTTTAAAAATAGAATAGAATACAACAGAATAGAATAGAATAGAATATATCTCATTTGTCAAACTTGAATGTTTCAGATTGTTAAACACATTTTAATCTCAGGCAAAAAATAAGGAAAAATAAATTCAGTTTTCAAATGAGAATTTCTATTAAATAAGCTTTTCTGAAGCAACCTGGCCCTTCATAGAACAGTAACTGCTGTCATTGTTAAAACATTAACTAACTATAACTAACTTTTTTTTTGAAATCTGAGTTTCATTTCATTAACTACTTTGACATTTAGTGTAAGAAAACCCAAAATTAAATAGAACCTGTCTAACAACATGAAGTAGGTTAAAATATTTCAAAAAGCTTTATACTAGATTTAAAGAAACATGAGAACAGCTGAAGAATAAAATAATTGACATCAATCAGTCTGTGTTATTTCTCTGTGATTTCAACCTTCATAAACTAAATGCTGAGTAACAACATTGAGAGACAGCTTGACAGTTTGTGACAATATCTTCATATTCACTTGTTTGAACCTCTGCATGCTTTTATCCACTAACTGCTGTGGAAACTTAACAGGAGTAAACCTTGTGCAAATCTGCCATGTGTCAAATACTGTTTGGTTTCCATTAGGCAGCCAGAACAGCTCCCTGTGAGTTTCCACTGGGCTGGAAATCGCTGCAATAAGTCATCTATACATGGGATCACAAGACCTGACCAAACCCTTCATTCAGCTGGGGGTTTTAACTGTTTTCCCGCCTGGCATCGCCTGCTAAAGTTTAAATGGTAAAAGAAAGTCTCATTTTAAGATCAAGGAGTGGACAGCATCCAGGGTGGACAGCATGACAGACTGCTAGGTGGACAGTCAGTCTCTTTGGTTTTCAGTATTTATGAAGTGTTAAAACTTCAGAGCCAGTGCTTTTAATTTGAACTGGCATATAAAGCTGGCTATTTTTGAAAGAAGCAGTGTTGCCCAGATGACTATGGGCATGGTGCCTTCCTGACTACCAGGAAAAAAAAAAAATATTGTCCAATCACCATTTTTTTTAAATCCCACAGTCTTTATAAGGTAATAAAAGGTTTTAATGCACTTACTTTGTCTCTTCCCATAAAATGTGTTATTACTGATAAATGCCATTTTTATGAATTAGAAAATGGTACGTACAAAAGTCCCACCCTTTCACATGTGGTATCATTGAAAAGCCCTAAATGTCCTCTCCAGATACCAAAAGGAATTAATTCAGTTGAATGCAGGGGGTGGGAGATATTCAAGTTTAGAAATGTCCTCTACAGAGGACAAAAATGAACTACTGGAGGATATTTTTAGATGATGGATTGACCAGAGCTCTGTGAGATGCCAAAGCTTGGATGTTGTTTCTGTCCTTAAACCTGTCTAGAACGTTTTCCCTAGCCTTGACTTGCCTAAGGAGTGAATGTGTCAGTTGATGGTTGTTAGTCTCATGTGTCTGTTCTTTGCCAAATGAGAGACCAGGGTGTTCCTTGACTCCTGCATTATAAGCACTGGAGATAGGCACCTTTGTGTTTTTTATTTTTTGTTTGGATGGTAATAAAAATGACTGGAATAAATTAACTGTTCCCCAATTTGCAGCTGTGCAGCATCTCTTAAAGATCCTGAACATGATTCCTTCTTCACACAACATGGCTGTTCTTAGATTTCTGTAAGAAACAGAAAAAAATTTACAGAAGCGTCAGTTGATCTTCATTGTATCCTCACACTTAGGGACTTACTTTAAGGTCAAAGCCATATTTTCTATGTGCCACATTGTGTTGAATGTGGGAGTCTCCATTGGGGTTACAGCCAGTGTGAGTGAGTACTTCCATCTGCTGCAGGTTTCTAACAAGGAAGTGTTTTGTTCAAAATTCATCATTTCCAGATTTACAAGTGAAGTGGATACCAGCTCAGCTTTAACACTAAAGGGGCTAAATGGGTTACAAGTATTTCTTCCAACAAGTGCAACTTTATTTGCTGTGGAATTTGAAAGATCAAGTTTGATTTACAATTGATTTAAAATATTTAGAACGTAGTTAACTTTAATAAGAATCATGGGAGCCAAACATTGGAAGCATGTGATGTGCAAGGCAGGGATTTGACCTCTTGACAGGAATTAACCGGACTTAATGGAAAGTGACATCCACCTCCCGAAGCATTTGGCTCCAAGAAATATGTCAAAAATTACCCTTTTAAAGACCTATCAAGGGTTGACAAATTCATTCGTCCCCTTTTACCCTTCAGCACTCTTCCCCTGAACTCCGCCCCCTCTGGATACCAAATCCTGGTCTTGCTTTTGGTCAGACTCCCTCCATCATTCATTAACCCTGTTCTGTCATACACACTGATGTAGCAGCTATCAGATCATGTCCTGATCCCTCCATGTCTCATTCACAATGTCCAATGCCCTCCATCAGCCTTCATCATGTAATGATTGACTTTAGTTGCAACATTTGAGACGTTGTTTCCAGGTCAAAGGCCTGGAAACCTGGAGAAGAGGGATCACATCCTGAATGTCTTTATAGTACCTTTCAAAATCAGTCACAACTCTTAAGCTTCCATTAGATTAAATGGTGATAATAGGTACTTTCATCAAAATAACATATAAAATAACATAATAACATATGACCATATGTGAAACATGGTGGTGCCTGTTCCATGCTGTGGGAAGTCTTTTTTTCTGCAGGAACACAGATGCTGGTCAGTTGATGAAAAGATGAATGGAGCTAAGAGGCAACCCTAGAACAAAACCTGCTAGATGCTGAAGAAGATTTGAGACTTCAGCTTCCAGCAGAGCCACCACCCTAAACCTAGAGCTACAGCAGGTATCTAATGGCTATCAGAACCTAATTATGTTTCAGTACGGTGCTGTCAGAATTCAGACCTAAAACTAACTGAGAATCTGGAGCAAAACCTTACAGCATAAGTTTACTGTCACTCCTCATTCAGTCTGACGGAGCTTGAGCTATTTTGCAGAAGAATGGGCAAAAATGTCAACTTTTAGATGAGCAAATGGATTTCATTCATAAACTCTTGAAATAACATTTTTCTTTAAACTTAATAAGGTTTTGGTTGTAACATGAAAAACTATGAAAAGTTTTGCACAAACATTTAAAATACACTCAGTACTCTGTCACTATACACAGTATGGTTCTTTATTTTAAAGACTGAAGAACATGGTCAAACAGTAACATTTCAACTACAGTCAGAAACTTAATTTCCACTATGATAAAGAACAATGGAAAAGATAAGATAAATAGTTCTCGGTGACATTCAGGCATTATCATACAAGATAAGTTAAATACTTAAATACATAACTTTCTTTAAATACAAAAGTATAACATATATTCACGAGTGCACTCAACACTCCTCACATCACAGGGGGCACACGTACATCTTCACAGACAATAAGACAACTTTTACAGGAAGCACCTCATCCTACTGTTGCTAGCTCTTCAACATTGAAATTCAAGTTGTAAAAAAACTGTCAACATGATTGCATTAAAGTGCTTTCCTGTGACCCTAAAGAAGAACACGTGACACTCAAATGTGAAAACAAGAAAACAAGTCTGCTGAGAAACTAACAGGAACATCACTGAACTCCTATGAATCTTAGTCATGGATAGCCTTGAAACACTGTCCGTGGTCTCTAACCGGAAGGCATCGACTGTGGTAGGGTTTGCTAACGCAACTCTGTATGACGCAATGTGTGACGTCCCAAAAACACACTGCGAAAGCAGAAGAGTGATAAGGCAAAACTCATCCAAAACAAATAGAATGGCTGAAAAGTTACATTTCGAGAAAGTAGAGAGATGTTTTTGTTTGTCATTTTAAAAGCCGTTTAATGATCTGTCACGAGACATTGATAAGCTCCGTTACAGCAGAGAGAAAGGCACGATTTACCTTAGTGAGGCTTTGAACACATTGAACACTACCACGATTTGACCAGGGTGGACAACAATAGATGGAAGATGGAAGAAATAAAAACAGTGGAAAATACATAAAGAACATGTTATCATATTATGTGGGTCACATACTGTAAGGCCACTCAGTCAATCAAGTATTTCCAGGTAGTTGGTGAGATTTTACTAATGCTGTTTCAAGATTACAGAAACCAATAGAAACTAAATAGAAACAACATAATAATAATAATAATAATAATAATAATAATAATAATAATAACAATAATAATAATAATAATAATAATATGAAGTGACTCACTTTCCTACTCAAACAGTACTCCAACTCTACTATCTTTGAAGGTTTATTAAAAAAGTTTACATCTAATTCTAATACCAATACCAAAGATGGACCAGTCAGAGTTTTGCAGGCCAACACTGACTTCCAGTTTTGACTGAAGTCTGACCTGTTGCTTCAAATTTTAACTGATTCTATTTTTGATTCAAGCTGCGTCTCAACCTCATGATTTAGGTAATATGGTGGGTGTGGAAACATTAGGATCATAACCTTGGCCTCATGATGGACTGGTGACTTCTCCAGATTGTTTCCCGCTACTTGCCCAGCTACAGCTGGCATAGAGCATAGTCTCTATGACATAACCCACTCGCTTGATGGTGGTTTCCTTAAATGGGAATTAAGTGGGTATAGAAAATGGAAAGCTGGATGGATGAGAACTTTAAGACTCAAACAAATTATACCATGGTGGACTAACAAGACCTTGTTTCCCAGCAATTCCTGGTCTATCATCCACCCACCATCTCAGACGCAGACATAAATAGAAGACAACAAAATGTCGGGGCATGCATTTTACTGGTGCCTGGCTATTTGTGTTCATATTTGAAACTAGGCACTGTACAGCTAGCATTTTGGTCAGCGTGGTTTTTGTTTCAAACCCACATCGTAACACCATATTACATAGTTGGAAAGTAAAAATGAAAGTAAATGTTTTACTAGGGTGTTTTACCTATTTCTGATTTGTCTACTTTCGCATCTTTGCTGTAGACTCGACTTGGATGACATAAGAGACTCAAGAGTTTAACTTTTAAGTTGTTGAAACCAGGAAGCCTAACCTCATCTGCTAGTCCACTAAACAAAGTAGCTTGTTGATACATTTTTAAAAAGTTCTTTTTCTGATTTGATCTAACTGCTAAAATACTTTTTAAAGTTATTTCTAGCATTTCATTGTTTTCACTCAAACAATGAAATGCTAATCAGACTATAGTGTTCACTTTTATTTTCAACTGTGTGAAGCACAAAATTGAAACAGAACTTTTCTTGACTGCATGCTGACTCTTATTTTCCTTTTCATGGGGTCTTAAATCACAATGTTTGCTGTAAGTCTTGACTGTGGATGATCTCAGATTAAGTTCAGCTACAAACTCAAGGACTGTTGTGGTGATCTGAGTTCATGTTAGACACAGTGTATGAACTTCAAAGCTGATGGAGAGGTAAAAGGGTTCACTTGACTGTTGAAAAGATATTCAGAAACACATTGATTTTGACAGTCTCCAGTTCATGGTCCAGCTTCTAATCCACATTAGGGGCTTAAGTTTGTGATCAGTGAAAAGCAAAGGAGCCAAAGCTATGAAATTCAGTTAGCAACAAGAAGTACTCCACTGAGTGGCACTGAAGACACAGCTCAATTCTTACTTTATCCAGATTAAAATGTCCCAATGTCAACTTTTGGCTTCCTTTTAGTATTCAAGCTGACAAATCCATAATGTTTTAATGTCCATATTTTCCTGTGACGGAGATGGTCGATCCTTGGAGTTGATTTGGTAAGTTCTGATCTTAAAATTTAACTTTAAAATCCACCAATCAAGTACAAACAGTAAAAGCAGGAGACTTCTAAAATAAGTCAAAGCTGGCTGTGCACTAGATTAATCCTAAATGCAAAAACTAGAACTACTGACAGACCTTCTATGGGGCTACCTAGCTCATCCATAACTATGAGGGCTCCTAGGGTTAATGGGGGATGATTCTTCCCTGCCGTTCTGACCGATGAGCTGATACAGACGGTGGCTGAGGTTCTGTACTTGGCAGGTTCCCAGGACACACCCCACTCTCTTAAACTGGAGATGCTGGTGGTGGTTTCTGCCCCCTTTCGAGTGTCCATGGCCACGAGATCTCTTAGCCCTTCTCTTGATCTGAAAAGCCTCATCAGGCTGTGCCCATGTCAGGCCAGGAGATGCCGTCCTCAAACTGGATGTCGGTGGGTGCCTCACAAGGCTTAACATCCATTTGTGGAGTTTGCTTGCTGCTGGAGATGCTGGGACAGTGTTGGACTGGCCTTCTGAGGGAGTGGAGAGCTCCTTTTCCTGGTCGATTGGTTCTTTTTGATGATTCAGTCTGGAAAGAAAAAAAGCCAGTTAAAAGGTGTTTCTTTAGGTTTTTGAAATATAAGTGTATTAAGCAAACAGTAGTGGATGAACAAAAGATAAAATGCAAAAGTAAGCAGGTAAATACACATATCATTGCAAGAAAAATTTTCAGCTAATCAGAATCTGAAATGGCCAAAATCACAATACTTTAATGCAGTGCTGGCAAACCTTGAATGCAGACATTCATGTAATACTTGCCTTCAATTTGAACATTTCAGCAAACTGGGCATATCCACTGCACCAAGTCAGCAGTAGAAGTCTCCTCAAGCATTATGGTGCATCATGCCAAACCACAAAAAATGCTAAGAAATATTTTGAGGAACATTACAAAACCTCAAAAACTCCTGACACGGACAACGCCTCTTTATGGGTGGTTAAATTGCTGCCCATTTTCCGTACTTGCTAAGTCCTGTTAGCTGCACTGGGGAGACGGCAATACCATCAAGGAGGTACAACCCTAAGCATGAAGCCAGTCTGTTAGAGACCCAGAACAAAAACCTATATCGTCATGTGATGTTCTTTACATGCCATGATCAACTGGAATGTCCTCACACAGAATGGGGAGTTGAAGTCGTCCCACTAATATCAGTCCACTGAGACACATCGAAAAGTAGTCACAAGCGAGTAACAACTACAAACTGTAAGGGATAATAACGGATTTTTGAATGACTGTGATGTAAACTGTTAGAATACAAAGCAAAGCATTCAAGCACACACTGAGGGTCATGATCCAAAGACACATACAGAAGCTCATCATCAAACCAAAGAAAAAGAGACCCTGAGATTCCCAAACCAGACACCCTCCTTTCTGCAACTTCAAACCCTGTCCACAAACAGACCAATCACACTAGATACTGCTTATGTCTTGTGCTGAAATACAAACACAGTTCATAAGATCAGTATATCTTCCCAACTACATAATATTTTATATCACTGAGTAATATGAATGGGTTTCTTTTGAAAGAAGTACAAATTTTAGTCATGCATATCTCCTATTGTTTTCTTTGTAGGGTTAGGATCAGCTAATACTGTGAAACTTTTAGTAGGAGTACCAAACATCTGTTTACCTTTTGCATGTGAGCACAACTTTGTGCATTTCAATATGCCTGTCTCTTAATTGGGGCATAAAAATAAATAACCTTTTGATGCCTTGAATAGCATACTCCTGAGTCAGCCTTGGTTGCTACCTTTTTTACGTCGCCACCTGATTATTGTTGGCTTTTTGTTAAATAGGCAAGGGATCTTATTATCAAGAAACCTGATGAGACTTGTTTCAGTTTTGCTGAAAGGTTCCAGGGGAAACAGAACAAATATAAAGCAAACCAGTGGAGCTTTAGCTGTTCTTGTAATGAATCTGTGCACAGTAACGAGTTCCTTCAAGTTAAAAAGGGTATGTTTTTGATGTAACCATGTTATTTGGAGATCGTTTGACTTTTCGTTGATCCATGTATAAAACGTGTTTTCTGGAACGTGGACTTTGGGACAATTTCTCTGCTAGAAAGAACACGGTCAGCAAAGCAAGCAGAATGTTCTGGCCTCTCGGTAAACAGTAGAGACATCTCTACCATCTGCTCGTTGTTTGAACACCAGGTATCGTTCTTACAACTTGACCTGGTAGCTCATCAATAAGAGTCAAGCCGCTGAGTGTCTAACTTATCACCACCAATGGAAAAAGGGTTGAAAAAAAATGACTACACCTGGCAGACGAGAAGTAAACCTTCATAATTCTGTTGGAACACTACAGCTGAGCAAATGCATCATATGTTTGCTTTTCCAACTACAAGAAAAATTTAGCACCAAGTTGTCAGTGGCAGACACCACAGCTGTTCTAAATATACTCAGTAAAATGCTGACTCAACACAAGCACTCAGACTTTACTCCCACTGAGTGGCTGAAAACTGTGTACCATTGAAATGTTGTACAGTAATCTGGCAGAAAATGGAAGGTCAATGCTATTCAAACAAGTATGGTAGCCTGACGAGGACTCAGTTGCCAAAGACGAGGCTGTTGCTGGAGAGACAGTTGCATAATGGGATGCCGCAGACTATTTTCAGATCAGGCTTGGTGTGCCATGGTGCCACATCACCCATCTAAACAGTGGGACTAGTATTTAACTTACTGGACGCATGTCTTGTTTCTCTCTAACTGCAGTCACCATTGCATCTTGACACTAAAATTCATTGTGGATTTAAATTGGTAATATTTTGTATGACTCATACACTGACTCCACTGTTGCACAACACAGAACTATAATCTGCGGTGCTGATGATTCTAGCCCTGTGGTTTTGATAGTTGAAGTCAAAAGTTTAAACCGGAACGAGCCTTTGAAACCCTGTGATCAATAAACAAAACATTCAACCACATCATCAGATGAGTGCTGCTCTTCTTACATACACAGCACATGTAAAGTCACGCCTCTACAAAATGGGTTTCCATGTGGAAAGCAGCTCTTTATGGATGCCAGGGTTGGATTTTGGTCTAAGACGATAATCCAGAATGGAATTCTCCCCGTTTGGTCACTGCTTTCACCCTGCTCAACTGTAACTTTTCAGTCCCAAGAACCCATGCACAGAACACTGAAATACCTAACTTAAAATCCTTATATTGTTATTATAATTACTAATTAGATAATAATTACTATACTAATAGTAATTATTATAATTAATGGTTGTAATAATATTATGTTACAGGACACACCCTGTGTGGGATTAAATCTGTCTGTTTCTAAAGGTTGTCTGTAGCTCACTCTCGTTTTTCCCCATTAATGATTTAATGGGAAAAAAAAACATAACGTCATGTGACTTCACATGACGTTAAACAAACCTGGACTACAAGCACCCAGACTGAAGTCTCATGTTATTATGCCCTGATGCGAACACAGTGGGGCCCAATATGGGTCCAGGTGCAAATCTGTTTGGCATGTCCTTCATCTCAAAACAATGAGTCATTTAATCAGTAATCTGTATTGGAAAGTGCTCAACAACCAAAGCACAATTTAGCTTTGGTGGCACACCAAAGATATGTACTGATGCTAAAATGTGGGTGAAAGGTCATTGTTCTTAGCTAGAAATATGAGCTAAAACTGGCAAGTTTTGACATATTTTAGTGAGATAAATAAAGATAAAAAAAACTGGTTAACCTAAAAGAAGACATAAAAGGAAAAATACTTCAGCAGAAAATGAAGGGTATTTGCTGCATGTGATCAGAAAAACATGCAATCGCTCCTAGTTTGGCAAGCGGCAGTTCTGCATCTTAAGGACTTCTTTAGCATTACCTTATCAGGTTACAGAGACAGAACGTGGACAGAAAAAGAACATGGAAGGAATGACAGAAATCCACCCAGTGTCTAACAGGTGAAAGAAATGTAGAATAGTTATGTCTGCTGTTATTCTTCTGTCAGCATGTGATGTTAACAGGACATCATGTGCTCAACGGAACTGGGAGTATGAATTTAGTGTCATAATAAGAAATAATAAGAAAGCAATGGAACATTTACGACCAATTATGCTCGAAAGTGGAAATGGCAGACTGGATCAAACTGGGAAAAAGACACATCTTTAGGGATAGCGGAGGGATTAGGACTCTCTTGTTAAGCGGAGACGAGATGGATTGAGGGGATTAAGGTGCTGGGCAGGTGAAGGTTTCAGCAGCAGATGTTCAGCGCTCGCTCACACACATCAATAGGCAATGAGATGAGATGGTGCTGGGTGATAATGCTTTGCCTCCAATAGTTTTAGATCATCAGCACAGATGTTAGCTTTATTATTCTTCCAAACCCTCTTGCTTTATTGTGTCGGACATGTGAAGTATGCATAGTGATGAGGGGATTTTTCTCCAACTTTTCTTAATTATTTTAAAACTGGACACCAAAAAAGAGGAAAAATACAATTTTCAAAATTTTCTGAGTTATCTACGGGGTTATATTCATATTTTTTCAGTCACAAAGCTTTTTCATTTCCTACTTCAGTCAGAGACTGTTCAAACTGAGCATTTGCTTTGCTTGTTTCTGGTATCAAAGTGTAGAAAGCTTTTTTAAAGTTACAGTTTCAAATGTACAAATTTAATGATACCATTCCTACAGTTTAATCCCTTTGAATATAAAGCAAGTGAATGAGTGGAATTTTCTCTAGATAGATAAATAGAGAAAGGCAGCCTACAAAAAAGTGTACGTGTCTAATATATATGTAATATATATATATATATATATATATATATATATATATATATATATATATATATATATATATATATATATATATATATATATAAACTCACAAATGGATGGAAATACAGAAAAGTTGCCTCTAAAAAAAAAATGCATCGTCTTATCAGACTGTACCAGTAGAAGGCGCCATTTACACTCATCATCTACATTGCAACACAAGTTTGTATAGCTGCTGACCCCGCACACACATCAAACTGGGTCTGCAGGCTGTTACTAAGCGCTCTGGTTGTTGCCTAATCTCTTATGGTTGGGCTTTGTGACTAAAACCCCTGCAGTTTAAAAGGGCGGAAAAGTACAGGTATCGTCACATTCACAATAATCTATTATGGGGCTCCATTCATGAAAACAAACTGGTTTCCCCTCCTTGTGTAAGACGAATATGTCACACATGCTTTGGGGATTTAAGTGCGGAGGTATAGTACACTAGAAAATACAGTTCACTTCAACTTTAAATTCAGAATGTGGGTCATTTTTTATACTGGACCTGCTAAATTGTTGCTTTTTTAAATTAATATTATTTCACGTTAGAACTTAATCCATGACCTCATCAAATGCTGTATAATTTTTATAATGATAATTATTATAACCAGGAGTTTCGAACTATTGTGGTATTTTAAGCATTTAAAATATTCGCATTTTTTTTCACAATAATGTAAAAAAAAAAAAAAAAAGGAAGAAAGAAAGTGTTTTATTGTAGACAGCCTCTGACTTTGTAGAGCTCATTATCTGTAAACTGCACGACATAACAGCAACCACCTCCAAACACTCACACTCATGTGACTCTTTAGACACGCGGGCAGAAAATTAGAGTTAACCAAACTAGTAACAAACTTTAGTTAAAGTTCCAGATCTGTTACGCTCCACCACACCGGCAGAAAACCCATATTTTCAACTCTTTAAATTAAAAACAAGACAATTGCAGAGGTAGCTTGTTCCTACCCATTCCGCTTTAAGGTTTCCGACTTGCAGCACTTCCCGTGAACTAATTTGCCGTAAAGTAACAGGTGAGTAAATGTTTTTAAACTTAGCCAACCAGGTGTAGCTTTGTTTTATCGTCTAAAACAATTGTATTAGTGTGTTATTATACCGACAACAGCAGCGGAAACAGTAGTAAAGCGTTATTAGCCGGTGGTTAATCTTGTCGTACCTGTTTCCGTCAGGACGCTCCCCGGCCGGTGAAGCCGACAGCTGCTGGAGGGAAAGCAGGCTGATGCAATACACGACAAGCGGGAGGAAGGACCGCATCTCCGGATAAGCTTCAACTTTGTACACCCTCTCTCTGCAGGAGTTGGAGGGGGGCTACCTCACCGACTTTCAGCCCTCCAAAAATGGAGGGAGAGCAATAAATAAATAATAATAAAAAAAATTATAGCAAAACGTTGAAGCTGAGAATTCCAACTTGGGAAACTGGAAAAGAAAATAAAAGAAAGTCCATGTTTTTCTTTTTTTCTAAAAGACAATGATGGCAAAAAGCATATTTAAATATAGGCATATATTTAAATATGCCTTATACAAACTGAATTCTACATTATTTTTTGTTTCTGCAGAAACAAAAGTTAATGCAGAAACAAAATAAAAATAGAAAATCTTTGTCTGAAAGATTACCTATTTACACATAGTCCACACATTATGCTAAATAAATTGTCTTACCTTTAATGTAGAGCTCAGAGTATGGAGTCACTCAAAAGTCTTCTTATTCCCACGATTCCAATCCTGTTGGTCAAGATCAAGTTCCAATGTGAAGCTGAGTGCTGACTAACATAGTGGATTTAAATAGAGTGGGTGGAGTTAAAACTAACCAGTATTTAACATCCTTGGAAATTTGACTACTCTGTATTGCACTGATATAAATCCAGGAGATGCTATAAAAAATATTATAAATTGCATTCCATGCCCAAAAGCAATGTAACTTCTGAATCCTTAAAAGGAATGAGCTCAGAAGTAAACCAGCATTAAATAAAACTGAAAGCATAGAAGGCTTTCTCTGTAAAAAAAAAAAAAAAAAAATCAGCACAATAAATAGTTAAACCTGCTGAATAAGTTTAGTTCTAAACAGAACTAACAATTGAAACAGCTAAAACAGAAAAAAATTCTGTGTGTGGCAAGAAAATCAGAGATTTTCTTTGATTTGACTCATACATTTCAAAATCCTTAACACATTAATTTACAGGCTACATTATGTGAAAAGAGACACATTTTCTAATTTTATAAGCATACATTTTCTATGGGATTGTGTATTTTTCCGGAAAAGAGAGATTGCTGTAAAAGCTGAGTGGTAGAAGAAGCTGAAATCAACTCCAACAGGATTTTAAGAATGTTAAAGCTTTACAGTTTATTATAGTTTTGTTAAATTTGCTCTCGACTGAACATTAGCTGTAAAGTTTCAGTAATGAACTGCAGGTAGCTTTACTAATAGCCTTTAGCTGCATGTTGTTGCAGGTTGATTGTGAGGGGGTTGTCGTTTATCTCCAGTGGTCATTGGATAAAAGGACACAAGTTATATTCCCGTTTCAAACACTGGTATATTCCTGAGGACTTTTTGCTATCATAATCCACCATGTGAATGCTTATGAAATGAAGCTGCATTTTCAAGAAATTCTACCGAACCCCTCTCCAGTCTCTTATCATCGCCTTCAGCCAAGTGTTTAGCACAGATATGACCAGATGCAGGAATCTTCCACTACCTCCCCTGATGCTTTTGAGTTTTAGTCATGAGTCGCTGGTATCACTGTTAAATTCCCCCGCATAAACATTTCCTTCACTTATTGTATTTTATTGCTGTTGTATTTCTTGCTCAGCGGTTCCTGGTAGGAACTGGTCTATTGTTAGTATGATTCAATACTATAAAGCATGAAAACGTTGTTTGCATGCTATCTCATTGATTCATTCTCTAAGACAGGTAGGTACAGGTACGGTGCAGGTCTAAACACATTTTTCTCTAATTAATGACTCAGATCTCATATCGGCAGGAATTTTTTTTGTTCTATGTCCAAATTCTCTTTGACTGGTCTTTGTGCTAATAATAACATCTAGTGCTGCGTCAGAGGCTGATTTCCAAGGAAACCTGATGAAGATGTTGTCAACCGTCTAGTCAGTGCAAACCTCTTAATGTGGTTGAAAAAACCTAAACGTGATGGGTAGTCAACAGACTATCCAGTAGACTTCTGGTTGGTCTGTAGTTTTCACTTGATTGATCCACTTGCTGATGCAATATATAGATAACAAACAGAACATAATGACTCACAGACTGATGGTTACACAGCTGCTAAACCAAACAGGTTTGTGGATATTAGTGACTGATCAGACAGCCATGTTCTTCATCCTCATGTTCCTTAGTGCAACTCAGGAGGAACCGGTCCAAAGTCAATGACCCGGTTCAATTACCTGAAGTTCCTCAATAAGGGAAGCTGTATGATGAAATGAATTAGAACTGCCATTGAATTGTAGTGAATGTGACTGAATTTGAATCACTGTGTATGATTGAAATGATGTAATATTATATCTCTGTATTTGTTTGTCTTGTAAAGTGCCTTAAAATTGCATTTGTTATTGTTTGGTGATGCAATATTGATAAACCAAAGGTTTGAATATTTAAATCCAAAATAGATAATGAATTGTATTTCTGAAAAAAAATATGTTAAGTGCATCTAGATGTGGAGTAATCAAGTAAAGATTGTGGAATATATAAGTTGTGTAACATTTATGTGTTACTTAGTTTGCCTCTCCATATTGTTGCATGTATGTAGGAATGAAGGGAGTAAAATGGTGTGTGCTAAAGTAGACAAAGTAGGATACGTTTTCCATAATCTTATGGTGAGATCATGTTTTTCTCCAATCCCAAGAGATGCGACTTCAGTGCTGTCTACAGCCGTCTGCCTAATGCCCCCAAAGTGATCAACAAAGTTAATGAATTGAAATGACATCAGGCTGACATGGCACTTTTTGGGACAATCAAAAGACTCTTTCCAATGAAGTCAGTCATTCCCATTTACACGCACATTCACATGCTGATGGCGGCAAGGTGCAACAGGGCTGGGGCAATCTGACAGACACTGAGATGGGCTGGGGACTCAAACTGGCAACCTGCTAATCACAGGACAAACTCCTACCCAATCATCACAAATAGGTTATGCTGTACTGCCTTGGGAGCCACTTCAAGCCACCACTAAACCACTAAAAAATGTGGAACAAGTTCTCACTTGCAATACGGCTATGGAGCAATCTTAATAACTATTTATGTATGTGTGAAAATTATTGAGCTGCCTTTTATTGATCAACACAAAATAAATAAAAAAAGTTTATTAAAAAGAAAAGTCTAATCCTATCTTAATAACTATTTATGTATGTGTGAAAATTATTGAGCTCATTGGTCATGAAGTTCAGGTTACCTCTATGCTGAAATGATAAAACTGGATTGATTTCTGCAATTTAATTGACAGTGTAGTTTAATTTTTGTTCATAGTAAACATCTCGGGGAGTAATCTGATGTGATCAGACAGTGTACATGTGATGGTGGCATTCAGTTCCTGCTAAATGAGAACAGGTACAAAACAAAGAAATCAGCCTGATGGAGGAAATGTGGCGTGAAGAGGACGAAGCTGAAGGGTTCAGAGAAAGAACATCTGCAGCTCTCAGGAGGTAAATGGTTCCTCTGCTTTTCAGCAACACACTCATTTACATGTAAACAAACTCTGAAGACAGTTTTATCCTCTTCGGTCCTTGTTCATTTGAAAACATTTATAAGGCCACCAGTAAATGAGCAGCATGTGTTCAGACTGTATCTTGCATCCTGGCAGGTTTCTCTGTTGTGCTTTGTGGTCTTGACTTGAACCAACATTTATGTCTTTGTTGATTTTTATGAACCAAAACATGTCAGCCAATTAAAATATCAAATAAAAGTTAGTTTATAGAGAAAGCAAAACTAATTTTGTGATTTTACTCATATTTCAACTTTATATTTCTGTCAGTTTTGATTATTTTGGCTTAGGACAAATAAAAACCCAAAATTCAGCTTTTAAAAAAAATGATTTTACATAAGACAATAATAAGAAGAGAATTTTAATACAGAAGAATGGCCCATACTGAAAATACTCATCTGATGTTCCCTTTGCATCAGGAAGTCTTCCCCACATACTCATGATTTAAAATGATCACATTCAATTTTGTTTTTATTTATTTTCATTTCTTGTTTGCATCATGTAATATTCTTATTTTCTGCTGAAACCCAAGGCAGAGTTTGTGATTTGTATTATCTGAAACCCAAAAATCACAAAAATGAACAGAAATAAATGCTTGAACTATGTCCCTCTGTGTAACAAATCTTTACATGGATTTCAGTTTATAAGTGAAATTTCCTAAAGGAAAAATGTTTTTGATCATGTTTTACGTCAATACACCTGTGTAACTAGAATATCAAATCTAAAGAGACAGTTGGGTAAAAATATCCATTGTGCAATGCTCAAATTATTTTAATTTTAATCATTTAGTGCTCGTCTTCATGGCATTTTTGTCACAGACCTGCTTCACAGCAGGAGAAGCCGCTCTGTGGTAGTCTAATACTTGCTGCCCCCTAGTGAATGTCATGTTGCACTAGCAGCAACACTTGGTGCTGCAGCTGGATGAGGATAACAGAAAAATAAACACAAATTCTTTGTGTATTCCAACAAGTACAAACTGTATCTAATGCTAATATCTTGAATTTAAAAATAGCTTCTCCTTTTCCAAACATTAATTCCATGTGAAGAATCACTTTCCCACTGTTATCTTGTTAATAGTTGGCTTGGCAGCTTCAGATAGTTTTATTGACATTATTTTAGATATTATCCAGATAGGTTTCTTTGGAATGGCTTAACACAAGTATGAGTGAGAGCAGAAAACTATCAGGACAGTGTTGTGCACAAATAAGGGATTAGATTTCACTGTGAGAAAGATGAGAGGAGAGAAGGGATGAGACTGGAGATGGAGGCTATTAGCAACAACCGCAAATACAAACCAGTTCTCCACATTTCTGTTTATTCACCTTCCATCAATTTAAAACACAATGTAAATTCAGAGAAATTTATATCAGAAAAGTAGGTTGCATCATGTCCACATAATGCAGATCCAAACAGCTCAGTTTTTTCTTATTGTTGCAAATGATGAAGTCTCAGGGCACTTTGCAAGTCGAATTAGTCAAATTTACATACAGTGAAACAAAATCCAATTCCATCTAAATTCAATTCATGTCCATCCAGCTTTTTCCATACTGTAAAAAAACCAACCCCAAAGCATCTCTAACTTACATTAAAATAGGTTGACAGAATTTAACTGTATTTGTATTTACTGTAAAATTCTGCCAGAAATTTTCGTAAACTGCAGAATTATCTTTACAGTGGCGTAGATTCTCATCAGATTCAGACTCAATTGAAAACAACCCAGTTTATTTCCAGTTATAGCACCAAAAGTTACAATGTTAATATTTGGTACAATAAAGTCTAATTGATCATGTAATGCCTCTTGGTAAAAAATAACCAAATAAATACCCATTCAAAAAATTCCACCCAAATAATCTCAGTATTTACATTTGCAGCAATCCCTTCTCCATAGCAATCACATGGTGACAGTGGAAAGTAAGAACTCTATGAACAGGAAGAAATATCCAGCAGAACAGAACCACAGAACTGAAGACAAAATGTTTTATTTAATTACTCAGTTAAGTGCTAGTGGACACAAAAGATCAGTAATCAGAATATTATATCAAACATTTGTCACAAAT